GATGAAGAACTCAGACATCTGGGCCATCTATTCCTGCTGGAGACTTCTCAGGTGGTCTTCCTTGATCAAACTGGATTTTTCTTAACTCTGAATAAATCCACAGCCTCTCATTTTCTGTGGAAACAAAAGCAAAATCTCTTCTCCAAAGTAACATACCTTTTGACTTCAACTGTGAAGTCAAGGCATTTTCAAAATACCTATCTTGGATTAATTCTGCAGCATTTATAAGCAAATATCTTTTAGCAGCTGTTGCTCCTTCCTTAGCATTCAAACAATTCAAAGAGAGCATAATAACATACAGTTTCAAGATTTTCTGTGTATTTTCCATCTTTACATGGCTTTCTTTTAACCTCTTTTATTTTTACTTTTAACTTTTGGCTTTTTGAGACAGGTTCTCTGTGTATCTTTGTCCTGGAATTCCCTCTGTAAATCAGGCTATCTTTGAACTCACAGAGATCCATCTGTCTCTGCCTCCCAGGCTTCTTTCTTTCTTTCTTTCTTTCTTTCTTTCTTTCTTTCTTTTTCTTTCTTTCTTTCTTTCTTTCTTTCTTTCTTTCTTTCTTTCTTTCTTTTTTCTGTGAGAAACTTAACCTTTAGCCTGTATATATTTTTAATACACTGTAAATCATTTAGAGGTTTTCTTACTCTTTGAATCTCCCTTTACTGTATATCTCTCTTTTTCTGACCACATGGGTCTTTAATTTGCTAAGGAATATGGAGAAGTTTTTGCCACAACTCTATGGCGTTTTAAGGTCATTGCCCAGAAGCAAGCTGCAACAGTGTGTCCATAAACAACACCGAAAAGCTCCTATGGCATTTCAAGGTCCTTGCTAGGAAGCAAGCTGCAACGTTGTATACATAACTCCATAGTCTGGACCACCTGCTTGAAAGAGTCAGAGTTTTCCCTGGCAGGATGGCTCAGAAAGCCAGCATTTTAAAACAGCCAGCTTTTTTCCTGCTATGGCTGAAAACCAAAATGCTTTAGTCTACTCTTTCCCAAGCTTTCTCAGGCTTTTTGTGGATGAAGTTATCCACGTGGGTGCTATTCTGTAACACGGAGGGTTAGGCTTGCTTGTTGTTGGGGTTTTTGTCCTCCCTGCCTGGCCAATCAGCGTTTATTTATAACATGATTGACAGAATACAGACAATTCTCCCACACCAAAAGATACATAAAAAAGAAAAGAAACAAAAGAAAAAGGGGTGGACGCTGGAATCACATGTTACCTCTCCCAAGAGACTCAGAATGAGTTTCGAGTTGTCATCTTGATCTGCTTCCTCCAGAGGGAGCCTTCGGCACTCGGCTATGCATTCAACTCACACCTGTTTCTCAGCTTTCTGAGACTTGTATTTTGATAGAGTCTAAAAAGCACTGTGTGTGTGTGTGTGTGTGTGTGTGTGTGTGTGTGTGTGTGTGTGTGTGTGTGTAAAAACGTAAAACCATTTCCCATTGTGAGACATGGTGACACATGCCTTTAATCCCAGCTCTCAGGAGGCAAAGGCAAGTGGATCTCTGAGTTCGAGGCCAGCCAGGTCATCATGGTAAGTCCTAGGCCAACCAGAGTTACCCAATGAGACCCTGTCTCAAAGTTTTTCCTATTGTTATTAATTTGTTGCTGATTCATGATATTAAAATATAAACCAGAGCTACAGGTGGGGCATGATTTCAGTCCTCAGCACAACATACAAGTAAAATAAATAACCAGGGGTGGGGGGAGGGCTGAGGAAGAAAAGTACTCACTGCAGCCGCATGAGTGCCAGGAGAGCGTGCTTGTGTCTGCCTACAGTCCTTAGGAGATGGGGGCAGGAGGATCAGGAGTTCAAAGCCATCCACAGCTACATACTGAGGCCAGCCTGAGCTACAGGAGATCCTGATTCAAAAGAAGAAAATAAACCAGTGTTCAGCCAATCAGTCAACGTTAGTATTTGGTCTTTAGGAGTTCCTACAAAGTGGTAAGCCATCATTTTCTGATTGGATTTGAGGCTGGCGCCACAGGAAGAAATCGTGCCAAATAGTGTAAATCTGTTCCAAAGTCCAGAGCTGGGGAAGTTCTTGGCCCTAACGGGGAGGCAGACTAATGTTGCTTTGCTAAATGGGCATCGTATCAAACTGCCTCCTAAACACGTATGTTTGTGTCCGTAGATAAGTGCTGCGCTCAGCCTTGGTCTGTAATGGGTAATCCAGACGCTGAACTGATCAAAGTGGCCACCTGCTCAGCCCTAAATGGGACATTTACTAAGGCGCAGGGAACATTATGGAAAAGGGAAAGAAAGGCTGTAAGAACTGGAGGAGGGGAAGGAGTGCTTTGCAATGCTGTCTTCTGGTCATGGTTTAGCTCATACAGCCACGAACTCGCGGCAGCAATAGGTCTCTGTGCAAAATCTGTAGCAGACAGGACCTGTCAACAGTCCATTGTGGGGGGGGGGTGGCTCATAGGATCACACCTCTCCCTGAGCAGTGTAGGCAGTTAAAGGTTGCTGGAGGAGTGAGGATATCCTCAATGTTGTAGCGAGTGACAAATTGCCCTTCTCAAGTAAATAACCCCTATCCATGCTAGGCAAGTGAGTGTGATTAAACGCAGTGTTACACACACATCCAGTGGTAGTGACAATAAGCAGGAGATTTCTTGGGAAGAAGAAGAGGTTCAGCGGGTGGGGGAGGGCATACAGGAGGATAGTTCTCTGAAATTGTAAACAACAATTAAAAAGAGTTCCTGTAGGCCAGGAGGTGGTGGTGCACGCCTTTAATCCCAGCATTTGGGAGGCAGAGGCAGGCAGATCTCTGTGAGTTTGAGGCCGGCCTGGTCTACAAAGCAGTTCCAGGACAGCCCGGGCTGTTACACAGAGAAACCCTGTCTCAAAAAATAAAAGAGTTCGTGTAATGTCAGTTTTCTTCTTTCTTTTCCCATTGCTTCCATTGCTGGGAATGAGCATCCCTGGAGGGAAGTTGTGTCTGATGGGAGAGGCTAGAAGGTTGCAGGCCCAGAGTCGAATTACACTTTATTTGCGGCCAGCTTTTGCTCCCCCCCCCCCCAGCCATTCCTTGCCCACCTCTGCAGCATACCTATCAGAGAAAGACCTTTTGGAAAGTATGAACTTAGCAGGCCACTAGGTTCCACCACCCAAAAGCTAAGCCCGTCATGAAATAGCATCTGAAGCCTGTGGCAGAGGTTTCCCGCCTCTTGCCGTGACTGTTCCTCTGATGCTTCTACCAGTGTGTTCTTGATTTATTACTCACTGTTCTGTTACTAAACTACGTCTACACTGAGCATTATGATTATATTTTGGGAGGCCTAAACGTGTGCTCCGGGGACCTGGCCACTCATATTTGCTCCAGAATAAACCATGCCATGTATTCCTTTAGCTGTTTCTTTCGACAACATTCCTTTCTTTTATTCTCTTCCCTCATGTAATAATTTTTTTTTTGAGTCCAGTCTCACCCTGTAGCCCTGGCTGGCCTTGAACTCACAGAAATCCTCCTGCCTTTGCCTCTTTAGTACTAGGATTAAAGGCACGTGCCACCATACCTAGCCTCATTATTTTCTCTTGTAGGAAAATTTACTATATATGTATGTGTGTGTATGTGTGATATATGAATGCTGGAACATGTGATACTTGTGTGTATGCAGGAGCATGTGCTGTATGTTGTATGCAGGAGCATGTGATGTGTGTGTGTATGCAGGAGCATGTGATGTATGTTGTATGCAGGAGCATGTGATGTGTGTGTGTATGCAGGAGCATGTGATGTGTGTGTGTATGCAGGAGCATGTGATGTGTGTGTGTATGCAGGAGCATGTGATGCATGTCGTATGCAGGAGCATGTGATGTGTGTGTGTATGCAGGAGCA